GGGGGCAGCGGATTTAAAATTCCATTTTGTGAGCAAGGACCAGGCCGCGATGTGATGGTGATGGTGGTTGAGTGTTGTGTGTTCGTGTCTGGCTGACTCGTTTGCCTTTCTTGTACTGTGCACTCCTGCCGTGGTTGTGCCTTGTTGTGGTTGTTGTGGTTGTGCCTTGTTGTTGTGGTTGTTGTGGTTGTTGTGGTTGTGCCTTGTTGTTGTGGTTGTTGTGGTTGTGCCCGCTTTGACCCCGTGCCGCTGACTGGACAAGCGTTAAAAAGAGCTTCATAGATCATCGGATTCCTCCAGATAATAAAACACATGCCGACAAGGTGGGAGTGGGATCATCGTCACGAAATGCCGCCACGAGGCGACGAACGGCACGGATTGATAACAATCATCGTCATCGTCGTCGTCATCGTCACACCGACACAGACGCGGACACTCATAGCGAGAGTATCTGTGCGAAACACAGACTCCACATAGCCAGCGCTGGTGAGTGTGTGAACAGGATTTTAACCCGTGTCACACACACACACACTTACTCTCACTCACACACTCACACACACTCTCACACTCACACACTCTCACACACACACACTCACACACTCACTCACACTCTCACACACACACACTCACACACACCAATATTCTCACACACACTCACACATTTACACACTCACTCACACTCTCACTCATACTCCCACACACACACACTCACACACTTACTCTCACTCACACACTCACACACACTCTCACACACACACACTTACACACACACTCACACACTCTCACACACACACACACCAATACTCTCACACACACTCACACACTTACACACACGCACACACTTACACACTCTCACACACACTCACACACTCACTCTCACACATTTACACACTCTCACACACACTCACACACGCTCACACACACACACTCACACAAACCAATACTCTCACACACTCACACACAATCACACACAGACCAATACTCTCACACACACTCACACACACACCAATACTCACACACACACACTCACACACACACCCCCCCCCAAATACTGACACACACACTCTCACACTCACACACTCACACACACACTCTCTCTCACACACACACTCTCACACACACTCACACACATCTACACACACACTCTCTTACACACTCACACACACCTACATCTACACACACACATCTACACACACACACTCCACACACACACATCTACACACACTCTCTCTTACACACTCACACACATTCTCTTACTCACACACACATCTACACACATCTACACACACACTCTCAGACACACTCACACACATTCTCTTACACACTCACACACATCTACACACACTCACACACATCTACACACACACACTCTTACACACTCACACACACACATCTACACACAAAGACAAAGATCCCCCGTATAGCCTGAACAGACTGTAGGGGCAAGTGCTGTTAGCGAGCACCTATGAAGGCCGGAACGGTACACGAGGGGGTGGGTGGCCAGCACCACGCCCGACCGCCTTTGTCTCCCTAGTGGCGATGTTTACACACCGCACCAGGTACTCATTTAAGGCTGAGTCGACCTAGGGGAGGCCCAGGACCGGTTCAGATAATCGTCACTGGTGTTAGCCGTGAGCGGGAATCGAACCCGGGTCGCCAGGTTCATAGCGCAGCGCGCTAACCGCTACACTACCGCTCCCCACACACACACACATCTACACACACACTCTCTTACACACACACACACTCTCACATCTACACACATCTACACACACACGGTCTACACCGTGACCACCCCGACAGAGAAACGTCCACCCTGACGTTCACCCCACGACTACGGCGGCAGCGGAGCCGTGAGACATCATCAACATCCACCAACACACAGAACAACATCGCCATGGTGGTGATGGTGGTGATGGTGGTGAAGAAAAATAACAATTAGAACGAACACAATGCGATCCGGATCCAGCGCGGTGGATCTGCGCCTGGATTTGCGTCCAGCCGGGGAGTTTAAAATGCAAGAATTTCCCTGCGTGCCGGGCGAGACCAACTGGGCGATAAGCGCGGGGGGGGGGAGGTAGCTCCACTCTGGGGGTGCCGTGCAGGGCTCTGCTACGGGGAGATAGGGGGCAGCAAAGGAATGCTTCACTCGTGTGTGTAGGTGTGTGTGTGTAGGTGTGTGTGTGTATGTGTGTAGGTGTGTGTGTTTAGGTGTGTGTGTGTGTGTAGGTGTGTGTGTAGATGTGTGGAAGCTACCTGGTCTGTCGCTCCGCACGAAGCTTCAGGTCTTCTCGGCCACGGTCATTCCCTCCCTTCTCTACGCTTGCGAGACGTGGACCCCCCTGGTGGAGCATCTTCGCCGGTTGGAAACATTTAGGCTGGCCTGCCTACGATCCATCCTGGGTTTAACCAGGCTGGATTGTGTGAGGAGCTCACAAATCCTTGAAAGATCTGGGCAAAGTCCCATCAGTGAGCTCCTCCGGCAGGCAAGGCTGCGTTGGCTGGGTCATGTAGCCCGCATGCCCAGCCACCGCATGCCTAAACAGCTTTTGTTCGGCCGGATCGAGGGGGCTAGACGGGCGCGGCACGGGCTGGAGAAGAGATGGAGTGATGTGGTACAGGAGGACGTGGAGCTGAGTGGACTTGCCGATGACTGGTACCAGCGGTGTCAAGATCGGCCTCAGTGGAGGAGGCTCGTGAAGGACGCTACTGGGCAGTTGGAGGCAGTCGCCCTCCAACAACAACGGAGGGCGGAGGAGCGACGCTCACAACAACGAGCGGAGCGCCGGGTGGCTAAAGCACAGCAAGTTGGCACAGTAGGGGGCACAGGTGGTGCATCAGCCAGTCATCTCGGTCATCTCGGTCAGTCGACCAGTGGCACCTGGGTCTGCCCCGTGACCTCCTGCCAGCGGGCTTTCGACACTTCACGTGGCCTCAAGGTGCACTTGGCCTGGCACAAGCATCGTGGTGACGTCACCGCCACTTAGTGGCGAATGGCGGTTGTTGTTGTTGTTGTTGTGTAGATGTGTGTGTGTGTAGGTGTGTGTGTGTGTGTAGGTGTGTGTGTGTAGATGTGTGTAGATGTGAGTGTGTGTGTAGATGTGTGTGTGTGTAGATGTGTGTGTGTGTAAATGTGTGTAGATGTGTGTGTATGTAGGTGTGTGTGTGTGTAGGTAGATGTGTGTGTATGTAGATGTGTGTGTGTATGTAGGTGTGTGTGTATGTAGATGTGTGTGTGTAAATGTGTGTAGATGTGTTTATGTAAATGTGTGTGTGTGTAGATGTGTGTATGTAAATGTGTGTAGATGTGTTTATGTAAATGTGTGTGTGTAGATGTGTGTATGTAGATGTGTGTGCATGTAGATGTGTTTTGGCCTTCATAGGTGCTCGCTAAGAGCACTTGTCCCCAGAGTGTGTCACGACTATATGGGGATCTTTGTCTTTGCATGTGTGTGAGTCTTTGCGTGTGTGAGTGTGGATGTCTTTGTGTGTGTGAGCGGATGCTGTATCTGAGTGTGTGTGAGTATAGTGTGTGTGTAGTGTTTGTGCGTGTGTGTGTAGATGTGTGAGTGTGTATAAGTGTGCGTACGTAGATTTGTGTGTGTGTATAAGTGTGTGTGTAGATTTGTGAGTGTGTGTGTGGAGATTTGTGTGTGTATAAGTGTGTGTGTGAGTATAGGTGTGTGTGTGTAGATTTGTGTGTGTGTGTGTGTATATAAGTGTGTGTGTATAAGTGAGTGTGTAGATTTGTGTGTGTGTGTAAGTCTGTGTAAGTGTGTGTGTGTAGATTTGTGAGTGTGTGTGTGGAGATTTGTGTGTGTGAAGATTTGTGTGTGTGTATATAAGTGTGTGTGTTGATTTGTGAGTGTGTGTGTGGAGATTTGTGTGTGTGTATATAAGTGTGTGTGTTGATTTGTGAGTGTGTGTGTGGAGATTTGTGTGTGTGTATAAGTGTGTGTGTGAGTATAGGTGTGTGTGTGTATATATAAGTGTGTGTGTATAAGTGAGTGTGTAGATTTGTGTGTGTGTGTAAGTGTGTGTGTGTTGATTTGTGAGTGTGTGTGTGGAGATTTGTGTGTGTGTATAAGTGTGTGTGTGAGTATAGGTGGGGTGTGTAGATTTGTGTGTGTGTATATATAAGTGTGTGTGTATAAGTGAGTGTGTGTAGATTTGTCTGTGTGTGTGTGTAGATGTGTGAGTGTGTGTGTGGAGATTTGTGTGTGTGTATAAGTGTGTGTGTGAGTATAGGTGTGTGTGTGTAGATTTGTGTGTGTATATAAGTGTGTGTGTATAAGTGAGTTTGTGTGTAAGCGTGTGTGTAAGTCTGTGTGTGTGTAGATTTGTGAGTGTGTGTGGAGATTTGTGTGTGTATAAGTGTGTGTGTGTAAGTGTGTGTGTCTGTGTTTCTCTGTGTGTGTCTCTGTGTGTGTGTCTCTGTCTGTGTGTGTCTCTGTCTGTGTGTGTCTCTGTCTGTGTGTGTCTCTGTCTGTGTGTGTCTCTGTCTGTGTGTGTCTCTGTGTGTGTGTGTCTCTGTGTGTGTCTGTGTGCGTCTGTCTCTGTGTGTCTCTGTGTGTGTGTCACCTTGTGGGGAGCGGTGGTGCAGCGGTTAGCGCTACGCTGCGCTACGAACCCGGCGACCCGAGTTTGATTCCCGCTCACGGCCAACACCAGCGAAGATTATTATCCGACCCGTTCCTGGGGCCTCCCCTAGGTCGACTCAGCCTCAAATGAGTACCTGGTGCGGTGCGTAAACATCGCCACAGGGGAGACAAAGGCGGCCGGGCGTGGTGCTGACCACATTCATAGATGCCACTCTCTAACAGCACTTGCCCCTACAGTCCTTGAAGGCTACACGGGCGATTGCCCAACCACCACCAAGCGAAGCTTACCAGCCAACAGCACTTGCCCCGAGAGGCCGTGTGGACTACGCGGGTGGCCTTTGTCATTGGCAGCGCGTGGCCGTGTTACAGTGGGCTCTCTGCTGCACGTGTGCCGCTTACTCGTCATACATACTGATGATGATGATGATCGACACTGCTCCACACTGCTCGCACTGCTCGCCCTGGTGGCAGAGCCTTCACCGCGGTGCTGTCTGCCAGGGATGGACAGGGAGACACACAACAGAGAGAGACGCAGTGAGACAGACACAGAGACACACACAGAGAGAGACACACAGAGAGAGACACAGTGAGACAGACACAGAGAGAGACACACACAGAGAGAGAGACACACACAGAGAGAGAGACACAGAGAGACACAGAGAGACAGACACACACAGAGAGAGAGACGCAGTGAGACAGACACAGAGACACACACAGAGAGAGACACACAGAGAGAGACACAGTGAGACAGACACGCAGTGAGAGACACACACAGAGAGAGAGACACACACAGAGAGAGAGACACAGAGAGACACAGAGAGACAGACACACACAGAGAGAGAGACGCAGTGAGACAGACACAGAGAGAGACACACACAGAGAGAGAGAGAGAGACACACACACAGAGAGATACACACACAGAGACACACACAGAGACACAAAGAGACACACACAGACACACACACAGAGACACACACAGAGACACACACACACACATACACAGAGAGACACACACACAGAGACACACAGAGACACACACACACAGAGAGATGATGATGATGATATGCAACATTCAACCGAAGGAATCATCTCTGGTTGAACGTTGACCCCCCCCCCCCCGCCGTGCCTTGGTGCCTACAGAGGAGACACACTCTGGTGCACGACGTCTCGAGCACAAGTCTCCCCGCAATGGACGAGCAGGCGATCACCTGCCTCCTCCTCCTCCTCCACAACCTCCACAACCTCTCTCTCTCTCAACACGAGAGAAAATCACCAGCAGCAGCAGCGGGGCTTGATATTCTAACCCATCGGCCACCAACAATCATTGCCTCAAATTTCGATTTAAAGCTTTCGTGACTGCAGGGATTCATCTTCTTGGTTCTTTCGGTAAAGTCACGTAGAAGGGAAATAATAAAATAATAAAAATAAAACATAATACATTCTTTTATTTTATTATGTTTTATTTTTATTATTTTATTACTTCCCTTCTACGTGACTTTACCGAAAGAACCAAGAAGAATCACTGCCTCACTTACGAGGGGGGGGCGTGGGGGGGTCACCCCTTGACGGGTTTCGCCGCCCGCTGCTCTCATCAGCAGTGCGCAGGGCTCGCTTGGACCGCTGATGGGGAACTGCCAAATGTCTTTGGTTCTTTTGGTAAAAAATAATAATTAGATCGCGACGTTCCGATCGACGACCGTATTCACGTGAAGGTCTTCACCTGAAGAAGGTCGCTTGCTGTTGCGATCGAAACGTCGCCATCTAATTATTATTCTTAAGTTCTTTCGGTAAAAGTCACGTAGGTAAAAAATGAAATTAAAATTAATAAAAAAATAAAAACAATAAAGTTATTTTTATTTCATTTTTTACCTACGTGACTTTACCGAAAGAACTAAGAATGTGAATCCTTGCAGTCACGAAAGCTTCAAATCTATAAGGATCTAATTGTTATTATTTATATTTCTACCCACGTCACTTTACCCAAAGAACCACAGTGTGTGGAGGATTCCTGCAGTCACGAAAACATCGAATCAAGATTCAACTGCATGATGGTTTCTATGCATCTCGGGCCTGTGTAGTGGTGGTGGTGGTGGTGTTGGTGGTGGTGGTGTTCTTGGTGGTGGTGGTGTTGGTGGTGGTGTTGGTGGTGGTGGTCGTGTTGGTGGTGGTCGTGTTGGTGGTGGTCGTGTTGGTGGTGGTCGTGTTGGTGGTGGTGTTGGTGGTGTTGGTGGTGTTGGTGGTGGTGGTGTTGGTGGTGGTGTTGGTGGTGGTGGTCGTGTTGGTGGTGGTCGTGTTGGTGGTGGTCGTGTTGGTGGTGGTGTTGGTGGTGGTGGTGTTGGTGGTGGTGTTGGTGGTGTTGGTGGTGGTGGTGTTGGTGGTGGTGTTGGTGGTGGTGGTGTTGGTGGTGGTGTTGGTGGTGTTGGTGGTGTTGGTGGTGGTGTTGGTGGTGTTGGTGGTGGTGTTGGTGGTGTTGGTGGTGTTGGTGGTGTTGTTGTGTATGGGTCTCCCGGTTGGATATGGCCTCGTGGGAGAGCGGGTTGTCACCGAGGGGAGAGACGCGTGCTGGGCCAGCGCCGCTGACAGCCTCTGGGCTCCTGTCGAGGATTTCAGCTCCAACCCACACCCATTACACCAGGTCTCATCGACTCAGAGACCCGCAGACTCACACAGAGACCCGTAGACTCACACAGAGACCCGTAGACTCACACAGAGACCCGCAGACTCACACAGAGACCCGCAGACTCACACAGAGACCCGTAGACTCTCACAGAGACCCATAGACTCACAGAGACCCGTAGACTCTCAGAAACCCATAGACTCACAGAGACCCATAGACTCACAGAGACCCGTAGACTCTCACAGAGACCCGCAGACTCACACGGAGACTCAAACTCAGAGACCTATATACCCATAAGAGACCGATATACTCGCATAGAAACCTATAGACTCACACAGACCCCATACACTCAGATGGAGGCCTATATGCTCACAGAGACCCACAGACTCACACAGAGACCTGCAGACTCACAGAGACCCACAGACTCACACAGAGACCTGCAGACTCACATACAGATCCGTAGACTCACACGGAGACCTGCAGACTCACAGAGACCCACAGACTCACACACAGACCCAGAGACTCACACAGAGACCTGCAGACTCACAGAGACCCACAGACTCACACAGAGACCTGCAGACTCACATACAGACCCAGAGACTCACACAGAGACCTGCAGACTCACATACAGACCCTACTACAATCACCCAGGAATGTCCTTAACGCTCGTGACGTCACTCCACGTCGACCAGCCCCCCTCAATAATAATCATGAGCAGGTGACCTCAGGAGGGCGTGGGTTCAATCCCGACCCTGACGGTGCCTGCTGCTGCTGCTGTATATTTGGAGTTTGTGTGTCTCTCTCGCTCTCATCATCATCACGGTGGCTAGGAGATGTCAACTACCTCGCCTGGTGTACAGGCGGTCGTGGACTCGATCCCACAGTGGCTAGGAGATGTTAACTACCTCGTCTGGTATACAGGAGGTCGTGGGTCCGATCCCACGGTAGCTATGAGATGTTAACTACCTCGCCTGGTATACAGGAGGTCGTGGGTTCGATTCCGACCCTGAAGCCTGCTGCTGTATATTTGGAGTTTGCGTGTCTCTCTCTCATCATCATCATCATCGTGGCTAGATGTCAACTACCTCGCCTGGTGTACAGGAGGTCGTGGACTCGATCCGACGGTGGCTATGAGATGTTAACTACCTCGTTTGGTGTGCAGGAGGTCGTGGGTTCGATCCCAATCCTGACGGTACCTGCTGCTGTATATTTGGAGTTTGTGTGTCTCTCTCTCATCATCATCTCACAGACTATGAGATGCTAACTACCTCGCCTGGTATACAGGAGGTCGTGGGTCTGATCCCACGATGGCTAGGAGATGTTAACTACCTCGCCTGGTCTACAGGAGGTCGTGGGTTCGATCCCGACCCCGACGCCTGCTGCTGCTGTAGATTTGGAGTTTGCGTGTCTCTCTCCCCGTGGCAGCGTGGATTTTTCTCCTGGCGCTCTGCAATTTCCCTCTCCGTGTACAAACATCGCCACGCGCTTAGAGTATTTCTGGCTGCTATAAATGTCCACGTGATAAGCCACGCCGTTGTGGAGCCATCGTTTGTGATGTCCAGGCCGCTTCTGAAGGAAGAGCTTCAACATACTCTTTGGTTGTTTCGGTAAAGTCACGTAGGTAAAAAATAAATAATAAAAGAAACAACTAAATAAAATCACGACGTTTCGGAGGCAACACAAGCTTCTACATCGCTCGGTGAGCCTCGCCCGGTAAGATAAAACATTTTTTTAATAGTTTAGTTTAGTGTCATACAAATGTGTAGAATTGTAGATAGTGGTTCAGCCCAGGTGGACCAGAGTTCAATTCCCACTTCACGTCCAACATCAGTGGCGAATGTCTGGAGCCAGTGGCAGGCCTCCAACAAGTCGACTCGGACTATAGCTTGGTACCGCGTCTGAACAATTCAAGTAACATTGTGTGTGTGCGTGTGTGTGCATGTGTGTGTGCATGCGTGTGCGCGCGTGTGTGCGTGTGCGTGCGCGTGTGCGTGTGTGTGTGTGCGCGTGTGCATGTGTGTAGTGAGGCCCGGGTAAAACTACGTGGCCGGGAGTCAGAGCCATTCCCTGTACATCTTGGGGTGCGCGACAGGGATGTCCTCTGGCTCCCACATTATTTTACATCTATTTTGACCACGTAGTTCGTGAAGTCTTCAATAGCTGTACCGGAGGAATTTCCATTTGGTACAAATATAATGGGAGGTTGATCGATGCCCGGGTGCGGTCAAGGGATGGCTCCCTATTGCTCAACCACGTTACGTATGCCGACGACCTGGTAATTGCAGCTCACTCAGAGGAGGCGTTGGGAGGCGCTGCTGCTGAACCTGGAGCTTGCCGCTAAGAGGTGGGGCCTTACCATCAGCCCCACCAAAACTAAGCACCTGCCTGGGTATTTTGTACCATCGGACACTCCACCCCCACAACTCCCAATTGGTGATAGGGCAGTTGTGGAGAGAGTGGAGAGTTTCCCATACCTTGGCAGTGTGCTCATGACCGGCTCCGGTTTAACAGCAGAGGTCTCACTCCGAATCAGTCGAGCGGCAATATCTTTTCATCGGTTGCGTAACGCTGTGTGGAAGCTATCTGGTCTATCACTCCGCACAAAGCGTCGGGTTCTTCTCGGCCATGGTCATTCCCTCCCTTCTCTACGATTGCGAAACGTGGACCCCCGTAATGGAACATCTTCGCCGGTTAGAACCATTTAGGCTGGCCTGCCTACGATCCATCCTGGGTTTAACCAGGCTGGAATGTGTGAGGAGCTCACAAATCCTTGAAAGATGTGGACAAAGTCCCATCGGTGAGCTCCTCCGGCAGGCAAGGCTGCGTTTGGCTGGGTCATGTAGTCCGCATGCCCAGCCACCACATGCCTAAACC